TAGACTTACCACCATACTTATAATCATAAATCTGACTTAGGATGAATTTGATATATATTACTTTCAACATTGATCAACAATTACAAGACTGATTTAATCATACATAATTGTTTATCAAATCTCATATAATTATATATTTCCATGAATATACAATGGTGAATACCTCAATATATTCTCAAGAGTACTAAGTTGATCAATATTAAAAGTAATGTATATTAAATTCATTTTAAATCAAATTTATGATTATAAACATATTGATTAGTCTATAACCACTTTGATTAATTATGAATTATAAATATATACAGATTATTGAATATTTATTTAGTAAAGATTGGTTATTCTATTTTATAATATTTTTAATATCAAGTGGATAAAAGGAACCCAAATATAAAATATTTATGGTTGATGGGGCTGAAGGGACCCCAGAAATTTTAATGTCTGCATAATATGTGAGACAAAAGGGATCCCTATAAAGACAAAAGTGACCTCTATGAAATTTAATAGAGATAATGTCAATTCAATCTAGGCTCCATTGAATATATTTATTAAATATAGCCAAATATTTTAAAAGACAAAATATTCAATATATATCTCAAATAACCATAAGCGATTAATTTAATAACTTTATGGTATTTTACAAATAGTAGTATATTAATTTAATAATTAGTCCAATGTTATAATTTATTATAATATTGTATTTGTAATTGCTATTTAATTAGGATAATTTATTGAATCTCATAACTCATCAGTATTTTTCTTACTGGCTATTGTTACAGGAAAAGAAAAAAAAAAGTTAGAGAATACTAAGTGCAAGTATTTAAATTGGATATGCTAATTTTAAATTTATTTATAAGACTAAATTTAAGGTATGTGAACATTCAAATAAAATATTAATTTGAATTTTTGTAGTGACTTTATTACTATATATTGTTGAAGTTTAAAATTATTAGATGCTTTAGATGATGTGATAAATGAGAACTATTGGATCTTTTAGGGACTGTTTGGTTGCCTAAAAAATAAATGCAGTGTAAAGTAAATGCAATATAAAGTAAATATAGTGCATTCCGAATACTTTGAGGCTGCTTGGTTGTCTGTAAAATAAATAAAGAAAAATTGTTTCCCTTATTTGGTTAGGTAGAACCAGAGTAAAGTAAAAGCGATTTTTTTGTAATAATTTATTTTGACATTACAACTAGTGTATTTATAAAAACATTAGCTATTTCTTCCTAAATTGAATGAACAATTTATTTAGCAGCTCATGCATTCAATAATTGACAAATACAAGTAAAAAGGAAATAGCAATAACGTAATCATACCTACTAAAATTACGACAACAATTAAAACCTTAACAAGGTCTATGTATTAGCTTAAACAATAGCTGATAAAATTAGGAACTTCTTCATTCATATCATCATATGATATCTGACAGAATCCTTGATATATTAATTGTTATATTTCCAACTTCTCTTTGTTAAAGTTTTAACAAGCAAATACCTGCAAGTTATATTAATATTAATTTTTAAAAAAAAATATTTACGTATAACTTTTTTATATTTACATAATTGATAAATAACTCCTTATACTATTTATATAACACCCAAAATTTTAATTAATATTAAAATTACAATCACTATTAATTGTTTTAAAATACAATACATTTCATCATATATATATATATATTATGTTGAGAGATTAAACCGTTATACAAAAGTATAAAATTAAACATTAAACATGTAAAGGCATAAAAAATTTGTGATTTTGATGTAATTCCTTATAAAAATAACTATTTTTTCTTAAAAATATTAAAGTTCAATTAATCACATAATTGAATATACTTCGTGCATCTGTCAAAACATTGGCAGCTCAAACATAATTTGGTAGTGGAAATATGTCATTAAATAGCTCTCATAATGTCCTTTCGTGGAATCAACTAAAAGAAAAGAATAAAAAAACATAACAAAATATGAATGTTGAAGCTTCCATCTCCGGCGATCACGACGTCGACGCTTCTCTAGACAAGTCCCCATCAACGCTAGTAAGCAACGGCGTTGACGAAGGAGATGAATGAAGCTTTGCTTCATCCCAATATATTTAAATTTGAAGATCATAGAAATTAAGCCCTTTTATGAACCTGGCTGAGACAGTGCGGAATCAAGCCTGATAGAAGGGCAAAACAGAGAGGGAAAGTGAACATACAAACCTTGCAGATTGTCATAAAATCACAATCGGATTCCCGCAAAGGCGATGTAGATCATGATCTAGATATCAGCGGCTTCGGAGGCCAGTTTGTAGACGAAGAAAATGACCGGGGATAAGAGAAGGAGGACAGCAACGTGGAAGAGGCTTCCGGCCTTTGCTGCGAGGAGGAAGAAGGAAAGGAGCTGCGCGAGACGAGGAGCGTGCCGTCAAGGTCGGCGGCGACGGCGTGAGCATCGCGGCCGGCAAGATCGCAGTCGACGATGGATGGGAAGGGGCTGTGTACGGCTGGCATAACGTATCCGCGCTTCGTTTTGGGCCGCGAAAGTTGTGAATCCGCCACCGGCCCGCAGAACGACTTCTTGCTAGTCGCTATGGCGCTTATCGCACTCGGGCACCGGTGGCATCAAGCCCTGCATCTCATCGTTCAACGCTGACCAGTTCGATGAGGCCGACCCCATCGAAGCCCGCAAGAAATTCTCCTTCTTTGCGCGAGAGAATTTCTAACCCGCTCAATTTGAGCGGATTTTGATGTTGCACGAATAACCTTCTGTAATACGCCGCTGATGCTTCAGATGATTTTCTTATGTTCCGCTCAAAATCAACCAAACAAACTAATTTAAGAAATGCATATAATTAAATTACTTTACCATCCTAATTCTGCATACCAAACAATCCCATAATAAATAGTTTAAAATCTTTCAAAAGTATCTAATATTTGATTGATTTATTTATGAAAATGCTACATTTATGTTAGTAATACTCCATGTACTGTTAAGGGGTACGGTGGGGTGTTATAGTTGAATATTTACCTTTGGAAAAAGTATATAAGTAGTCATAAGTTAACTTTTGTTAATTAGTGAAATATCCTAGACCATCTTCCCTAATATTTTTTCTCTTTTATGTGATTTTTCTTATTCCCTTCTTTCTTTTGTCAGTAGTAGCTGCCACATCATTGTCAAAAAGTATATAAGTGATTACAAGCTAATTTTTATTAATTAGTGGATTAAATCAAATCTATTTTTGGTCAGAAAGATTTATGGAAAATATGCATGAATCTTTGATCTAAAGGCCGAGTATTCACATATTAATAAAGACTATTGTCCCACTCTATCCCATGAATGAAGGCACCCCTAGAAAAACCCCATAAATCCTTAGTGATCACGTTTTCTTATTTCATTTTTTGGTTTTAAACCCCGTGGCCTTTTCATTTACTGATTATTGTTTCAAATTGGTGATTATGTTTAACAGGTGAAACAATTTGTGAATAGAGTACTTGCAAAGCTAAATGTGTTGACTGATAATAGTATAATTAAGTACCTCAAAAGGTACAACAACAACAATATCATCATGCTTTTATCCCACTACATGGGGTCGGCTTCATAAATCATTTTTCTCCATTGTGTCTTGTTAAGAGTCAAATCAAAAAGTGTATAATCTTAACTGCATGATTGCTTTAATTCTTGATTATTCATTATTGGAGGTTATATATTTTGGACTTATATTTAGATATATAATTGTATTAGGTTCTTGATGCAATAAATTGTTCTTGATCATTGTTCTAATAGTAGGTTTAAAAAAATTAATGTGCAAGTTTAAATCTTCTTATGATGAGATTTACTTTGTCGCATAGAACTTGAAATACCAGAACTAGCTACAAGAAGTCAATTTTATCTTAGGTGCCATAAAGAAATTAAAATACAAGGCCTTACTACATAAAGAAACCTGTTTAGAAGGCCAAAATATTTGGAAAGACCTATTGTAGGATCAGCAAAAATAAAGAACAAAAAAAATCTAAATTTATAAAATTCAAGCAACTATTGAATTTAATTTTTCATTCAAGCTGGATGATCACATGAAAATTCCTATTGAATTTAGAACGCCTAAGTTAGCAATATTTGGAAAAAGATCCAATGAAGGTTCAACAAAAATAAATTAAGTTAATAAAAAAAATCTAAAAACCATATAATTCAAGAAAAAACTGAATTTAAATTTTCATTCAAGTTGGCTAATCAGATACATATTCCTAGCAATAAAAAATGAAACTTTATAAAACCTATTTTGGAATTTTGAGCAAACTTTAAAGCAATACTCAAGCACAACTCACTGCCGACACATGGACCCAGGTCGTGGTATGGGAGTCAAAGCTCCCCAACCACTGAGCCACAGGCTGGGATTCAAAAAGTCAGTTAAATAATATTTTATCCAAAAAACAAATGTCACGAACTTGGTTTAAAATGTAAAAAATAAATAAAACAGCTCTACGGAAAGTTCCGTAATTGCTTATTAGTCGATTTGTACTTCATTAATTTTTTTTTAAACTATACCCTATGAAGAATGTACGAAATGAAGAAAAAAGTGAAAGTGGAGCCAAATTGCAAACCCTTCCTCCACACGAGACATGATCAAAATTTCAATTGAATCGCTGCTTTCCATTCATGATTCCAGGAAAAAAAAACTCAAAAGCAAAAGGAGCATCCCATCACTAACAGAATAAAGAAGCTTCAATAAATATTTTAATAATAAAAGAAGAAGTAGAACGCCACAGTGATCGCAAGAGTTAACTCCGAACTATTCATCCAAATAGCCATCACAAAAACAAACAAAAAAAAAAAGAAAGAAATTTCCCTACGAATGGTAAGTCCTACATCCATCAATCATCAAAACAACCTCTCACTACTCCAATCAGAAGAACACAAGCAAGAAAATAATCACAAAAAAGCACGCGATCTAGGCTATTCCCTTCAAAAATAAGAATCTACCCAGATCTCGAGTAACCGAAAGCACTAAGTTCGCACTCTCACCTTCAAAAGCACAGGGTAAGATCGCCGATGCCTTTAATGCAAATCGAGCCAGATCGAACGCTTAGATAAATGAATGGATGCAGGTGCGACAGGGGATTGAAGGTCGCTCTCCCTTACTACATTAATGCTTACAAGTAGAGAGGACGAGACAAGCTCGGCTCGAGCGCTAGTGGAAGTGCAGGATCTCCGGAATCGATATTTACACTTCAGCCACTGAGAAATGAAGAGCACAGAGGAGTGAGGGAGCGTGGTGTCGGATTTCAGAGAAGGGAAGTTATGGGCATAAATGCAATGCGGTATGCTCACCTGCGGGGAAGCGCTGAACGGAATAATAGTAGCACGAATCGAACCGCTGCTCGGTTCGGCTGTAGAGGGTGCAAGATTTGTTGCGAGATCTAAAGCCGACGCGTGGGACATTATACCCCTGGGGGTGAGTGTTAATGGCCCTCCATAACCTGTCGGTCCTGCATTGCCGAGTCGCTGCCGGGTGGGCTTTAGAATTGGGTGAAATTACCAATTTGTCCTAACGACGGGACATGATTTGTCGTTTTGGACAAAAAAAGAGCCGACTTTAGTTTTTTTTTTTCGAAATAATTTGAAAATCGAACTGTACCGAATAAAAATATTATTAAAAATTAATATAATAATAAGACGGTCTAATTTTAAGCTTAAACATAAATTCATCCTATCATATATATCAAATATTCAAATAAAAAATAAGTTTAAAATCATACTTTGCAAATAATATAATTCATATTTAATATAAAAAAACTAATATATAACTTTAGAGTTTATATACAATGATGAGTGTTAAGGTCGAGTAAAGAGTGGTTACACACTCCATTAAGATATTAAAGATAATAACACTCAAAATAGGTTGTTAAATCTTATTGATCATTGATAGAGTGTAATGGTAAACTATAATGAATGACCAATGCAAGTGAGGCTTCCAAATAGAAAAAGCACCAACGAAGAGAACTTTTTTCATTAACCAGGCAAAATATGGACATTGTAATAGCTTTCATGCATGTGGCCTAGTAGGAGAATGAATTGGATAATTTTCAAATTTTATTTTACATAAATAGTATTTTTATAATATAAATAATTTATGTAATAATAATTTTGAAATCATGATATAAAAAAGTCATGTAAGAGCAATAAGCAAAAAATAATTCTTAGAAAACTAATTCTAGGAAATACTTAATTTTTTTATCTGGTTTGACTTTATGGAGTCTACATTCATGTTTAAGTGCCCAAGGCAATCTAAGATTCCTCTAATAATTTGCTCTACTAGTTGAAGAAATCCTTAAAACACTTTATTGAAGGGGAATCATATCCTTTTCTTCATAATGAAGAATAACACCACCTCTAAGTCTTCTCCAAAAAGCCTAAAGAATATAACATACAAAACTTGGGGAAAAAAAAAGGTAAAGAACAATGCTAAATGTTGATCTTTTGCATGTTTTAAGATGAGAGCAAAATGATTATCAAACAAAATGAGATTAGCTGAATCGAATTGGCTTGAAACCACCATCTCACAAACCCTCAACCGTGATCCCTCACCTTTCATGCCTCTTGGGAACCCCCACTCTCTAAGCAGCACACAAATACACTATGCTCCATGCTTATGACTACATTTATTTATCATTTAAGGTGATTTTAAAGCATCACACTTCTCATCACCTTACCCTATCTCTACAGTGAACAAGCTTCTTCAAGTCAACCAATCATCCCTCCCTCGTCACTTAATTACTCATCCTCCTTTAACCAATGTTAAGACTATGGCTTCCTTCCTTGCTTGTCAAGCCTTTTTTCGTCTTCTTTATCTTCAATCTACTATAAAACACCGCAAGCCTACCTTCGCTCATTTATTTGTCTCTTCCTATCCCATATCCACTACTTCTATAACTTTATTTTTAATTGCATCCTTATTGAAGCAAGTGCCTCCCCCGTCAATAAGAGCTCATTAGGTTCATTGTTATTGAATGTCGGAGAGCTTATATGTAACCTCTTCTTCTTCTCCTCTTTCCTTTCATTCTTAAAATTGAGTTCACATTTAATTAATTTTAGGACAAACTATATATTTGATTAGGTTATTAGCATGTTTTATTTCATATTAATATTAGTTAATCTGACCAAGTTGTGGGGTAAACTAGATTGACTAGATTGCACCTACTTTAGTAACAAGAAAATTTTTGAAGCCTTTAATTGCAAACCATCAATTACTTGAGCATGGTATTTTATAGGATCTTTGAATTAAATGCTATTCAGCATTGTTAGTAAAATCTTAAATAAGCTTGAAGTTTCACACCACTCACTTTGAGGTCATTAATTATTATTAATTAAGAGATATTTGTAATTGATTCATAAATATTTTCAAGTTAAAAGCCATTCTTGTTAGTTAGTTAGTTAGTTATTATACATATACTTGTACATATCATTTTGTGCTTGTAATGAAATAATAAGTTGCATGGATAAGTTTACCTTAATCTATTGCTATATAAATTCATGTATATTAAATGGATTCCAATAATAGAAGATCTATTTTTATATAGGTTATTTCTATTCAATGTGATGAATTTTATATCTATAAATTATATTTTATTAATAAAATAACAATTATCATATTGACTATATAATACTTATTGAAAATTTTTTGGATATTGGCTAGCCAAATTGATGGGATCAAAAAGTGATGAATTTATTGGAATTTTGTGGGATTCCATAATTCTTTTATCTTTTTGATTTTATGGTATATATATATTTGCATGTATGTATGTATGCATGATTATACCTGATCTTATCGCATATAAATATCATAGAATTGAATTGAATCGATTATAGTTTATTATATAAATTAACATGGGCATAATAACAATATAGATTACCTAAAAAATATGGCACTCTTTCACTCATGCAATACTATTTTAAACCTGGTTATATGATGATATTTATTTCTTGTTGCTATATTGTGATTCAAGCCATTTTTTTGTTGATGCTACAAACCCTAATACCTTGTCATTTATACTTTAATAAAATTTCATTCGATAATTTTAGGTTTTTTTAACAGATCAATTTTATTTGTATTTATATTGAATTTGAATAGTTTTGCTTATGCAAGTGATGCTTCTAGCTTCTTTTCCATTTGTTTCTAATTTTTCTGCTTATTGTTGTACCATTATTATTGATTCTATTCACACAATAAAATATTAGCACTTTATTTTCTTTTTCTTCTCTTACTATTGGCAATTACTTGTATGTAAACTTTCTCTTTTGAGTACAACATAGGTTTTAAATGATATTGCCTCTTGAGAATCATTTAAAGAGTGTTGCAACTTAGTTTTCAAAACTATATTTTTATATCATGTGAGTTTTTTTTATGATACAAAAATATTATTGTGTTGATTACTGTTTCTCCTAACACATATTGAAAAATCTTGTTTCTATTATTTGTGTGTACTAACATTTCAGAGAAATCATGCTCTAGACTGTCGAAGACTTCATGACAAATTAGATTACGATTTCTTGTAATTGAAGTCTGTACTTTTTTTATTTTTCTTGAGTATGAGAGAATGTGATTGTAATTGGATAATCGTGCACACACACATTGGGGTAGTGAGTCAAAACTATTATTTTTAAAACTAATTGTATTGTACGATTGTGGAATCATAGTGGACGATTTGACCTAAGAGTTTCTCTAGAAAGAAGCTAATCGAATCATGCATTGGAAATTTCTTTTGAACTGTTCGTAATGTATGAACATTGGTTCGTACAAATGATGTCTATAGTACGAAATAGATATGTACTAGTTCATCCCGAACGAACTCACCATTTTATGAACTCATCGTACTGTACAAAATTAGTTTCATACAGACGATGTCCAGAGTATACAATGGGTACGTACCAGTTTGTCCCATACGAACATGTAAATTTTTACAACTGTTCATACTATATAAAATTAGTTTCATACTAATGACGTCTAGAGTATGAAATGGGCTCATCCATGTTCATACCATGCAAAGCATAATTTGATTTAACAAGTTGGTACTTTATGAAGTTGGGTTCATATAAATGATGACCAATGTACAAAATGGGTTCGTATGAAATTATACCGGACAAACCTGTTCAATTTTGAATTATTCGTACTTTATGATGTTAGTTCATACATACGACTGACTGAGTACAAAATAAGTTCATTTAGGATCGTATAAGGATATTTTTGAACTGTTCACACGTACAAAGTATAATCATACTATATGATCCAGGTACGTCCAACTTGAAATTTTTAGTTTTCTGGATGATTTTTCTGGTCTTTCATATAAACGAGTCCTATAAATTGACTGTTTATGCTTCTTCTATGAATTTTCTCTTGAGAGTGAGAGTGAAAGTGTTTTGGGAGAGTGTTTGGGAGTAATGATTTTGAGATTTTGCTAGTGAAATTTATGAAGGATTCATAAGGTTGCCCAAAAGTGAAGATATCTTTGTAAGTTCTTCAAATCTCTTCCCTACTTTTTTTAAGACTTTTAAGAGAAGATCTTTGGAGAAAATTTGGTATTTTGCCATAACTAGGAGGATGAGAATTAAAGGATGTTGATACTCTGCCATTATTAGGAGTGTGAGAAATAATGTTGATAATATACCATCAATAGGAGGGTAAGAAAGGACACTAGTACTCTGTTATTATTAAGAGAGTGAGAAAAGACATTGATACTTTGTCATCACCAGGAGAGTGTGAAAGGATCCGGTGATTTATCGTCACTAGGAGGGTGAGAAAGGATGTCAGTAGTCTGCCATCACTATGAGGATGTGAAAGGACATTGGTACTCTACCGTCACTAGGAGGGTGAGAAAGGACATCAGTGCTTTACCATCACTAAGAGGGTAAGAAAAAATGTTGGTACTATGCCATCACTAGAAGGGTGTGGAAGGATATTGGTACTCTTCCATCACTGGGAGGGTGAGAAAGGACGTACGTTGATACTCTGCCATCACTAGGAGGGTGAGAAAGGATGACAGTACTCTGCTGCACCGGAGTTGATGGAAGAGACGTTATTATAAGGGCTTCTCCGCCTTACTGTGGGAGCAAAAGGAGAGTCACTTTGGTATAGTGCAATACCTGAAGGAGTCTTCAGGGAGTGGACGTAGGTCTAGTTGGATTGAACCACTATAAAATTCTATGTTTTTCTGTCTTTACTTTTTATTACATTTTTATTTTTTTGCACGTTTAAATTTTAGTGGTTGGAAAAATATTTTGAGAAAAT